TTTTTCAGACGATAGCTCACTGAAATAGAACCAAAAAATTTAGTTTTAAGAATTGATTTACTTGATGATGTATATAAGCCAAAATATGCATATGACTCCCATGTGATGCTAGCTTAGTGGTAAAGCTGACGGTAATAATGTTTACTTTTGGGGGTCTTCAGTTCGAATCCCATACGTTTTTTGCACCCTGTCTGCAACTTTCTCAGCTTTTTATTCCAATTTGATCTATATTCGTGTTTTATAATTTATTTCTATTATTATATGCATTAAATATATTGTTTTATTTATGCTCTTATTTATTTAAATCCCCCCCCCCTGCAAAAAAATTTGAAAATTATATAATACTAATTTAAAGCGTACCCTGTTCATATATATTTGAATTTAACAAACATTCTCTATTCGTGAAAAGCAAATTTAAAGTTAATTAAATTTAAATGAAATTTAATGCAAATAAATAAATGATTAATTATTGCTGCGAACTAATCTACAATATCATTTAAATTCTGAGAGCATATGTAAATCAAGTGCAAGTATCAAAATCCATGAATAAATTTATAATTCCAAAAATTTATAAAAATGCATAAGTGAATAATAGGATAAATAAATTTTTGGGAATTATATATTTATTCATGGATTTTGATACTTGCACTTGATTTACATATGCTCTCAGAATTTAAATGATATTGTATATTAGTTCGCAGCAATAATTAATCATTTATTTGTTTGCATTAAATTTCATTTAAATTTAATTAACATTAAATTTGCTTTTTACGAATAGAGAATGTTTGTTAAATTCAAATTTCATACCTTGCAGCAATGGCGCAAGAGAATTATTTAAATTTAATTTATTTTAAAACCCTGTAGATATATATAGTAGTATATATTTTCATTTCACTTTTATGTGAATGTATATACATGTGCTCAGACTTTGGGATATTTACGACTCTAAACTTTCATTTCAATTAACACGAGACAGTATTAATGCCCTAAACATTTTTAATAAAACATTTTTTTAACAAAAAATTTACTAATAATAATTGCTTTAAAATTCAGTCCTCTGCAGCAGAAGCGCAGGAATTAATTAATTAAATATTTCCATTTTCTTTACCTTATGTGTGTATATATAGAGAGAGAGAAAATCTTATTTTTATAACTTCTATAAAAAGAGATATGAATTAAAAATGTTTAAATTAAAAGTAATATTTTATGGATTATGCATAAAATATAACTGCCCATAGAGCATTTTTAAACAAACGAGATTTATAATAAATTATCCAGCTATGACCCTAAAGGTATACAAGCATAGCAAATTTTGTGTAAATATTGTGAACTTTTCTTTACAGTTGCTCTGTATTTTTAAAGTGCCAACTATTTTTTTATTTTATTTATTTATTTGTTATTTTATCACTAACAGTACATTTTGTTTTAATAATATATATATTATTTCATTAATATTTAAGGCTTATAGAAATGCAAAAAAATTTTTTTTAAATTTACTTCAGCTTCTATGGAATTAGTGATGTTCATAATATGCATTATAACCTTACTTATCTAAAAATTGCTAGCGTACTTTACTTTTGCAGTTCATAAGCAGAAATAAAAATTTCCAATAACATGGAATCAATAAACAAAACTTTTCTGAATTTTACGTTAGAATCCATATCAAATCCAAAACAAACAATACTCGCTTAAGCGGGAAAAGTTCAGATGTTCAGCATCGTAACTCGCGAACTGCTTGTTTGGCGCCAAAATATTACAGTGACACCTAGCAGCGGAAAATAAAAATGTTCTACGGATACGCGGCAGTAGAAATGCTTGTATGGATGCCGTAGGCATGTCTTCAATTGACGCAACGCGTTCGTATGTACAGGTAGTGGAAACAAGGCTTTATGTGTAACAAAGTGTAATTTATATTATATGTTCATTTTTATAATATAGTACTGTGTCATCCAAAAATTTCTGGGAGATTTTGATGATAAATACAAATGAAACAGTACAAAAATTTTATCGAATCACATATGCACCATTTTGCTGTATGACTTTTTCCCCATCTTCGTGGCCAATGGAAAATTCTTTTCTTTAACAAAATTGTTTGGTTTATTTGTAAAGAATTTATCAAGATGTTGTTTCACAACCTCCAAAGAAGTGAACTTCAGGCCTTTTAAAGAATTTTGAAGTGATCTGAAGAGATGAAAATACAAGGCAAAAGGTCGGTGAGTAGGGGGTGACATATAACAATCCATACATACTCAAATAGTCTTTATCTGACATTCATCATGAGGATTCATCATTGACATGTGGAGCCGAGCATTGTCATGATAGAAGAAAACACCTCGATGATTGATCAGTTTTAGGCATTTTGCTTCAATTTCTGCTTTTAAAATTGCCATTTGGGAACAGTATGTTTTCAAATTTATTGTTAATTTGATGGCAACAATTCATAGTGTACAATTCCTTTGTAACTATGAATCACCATGCACAAAGTATTACATTTTGGTACGCAACCACTCTTAATGTTACTAAAGGAGGTTCTTTTGGCTTACTCCATGATATTTTTCTTGTAACAATATTGTATTATATCCACTTCTCATTTTTAGTTATGAGCCATTTCAAAAAAGGATTTTCTGTATTTCTTTTGAGCAAAGAATAACTTGCTGAACTCAAGCAAGCTTGTTCTGCTCTGTTAAAATATGGTGTATCCATACATCATGGCTAGGTATGAAATCTTTTTCAAATTTTCATCTACTCTATTTTTGAAATATTTAATCTCTCTGATAGTTCTTGAACTGTAAATAATGTCGATTTTTTGTAATAGCTTCTTTTAACGCAGTGGTCGGCAAACTCATTAATCAACAGAGCCAGTTATCAACAGTTCAACAACTGAAATCTCATTTGAGAGCCATACTTTTTAAACTTAAATTTTATAGGTAGGTATATTGTTATTCACTTAATTAGGGTACTCATACACTTTACTAAGGACATCTTCAATCTGATCAATGTACGTTTGCTGAGGTCGACCCTCTTTCAAGTCGTCCATCTATACTTATCTTGTATACTCGTTTCGTGTATCTTCTTTCATTCATCCTCTCTATATATCCAAATACCTTTCTCAATTCTCAGCAATATATTTTTTTGCACTCCACATCATTCCCTAAAATTAATATTTAAATTTTTAAGTCTTAGATAAACTATATAAGTATGTCGAATAAACTTCATATTACACTTAATAACAATAAGATATAAGGTATTTCTCCCATCTTCTTAGCATGCCTTCATGGTGTAATGGTCAGCATGCTTGATGTGTATTCGAGTCCTGGCAAGGGCATTACTCATTTTTCATATCTCCTGTTCCAAAAAATCCTTATGTCTCTGCAGTGGCACTCGAACTAAAAAAAAGGTGGTGGATGATGATTCTCCACCACCAGAATTTGGCGATTGGGTCCCATATTCCCCAGTTGCCCTTTAAAAGGGGGAGTATACAAGGTATTTCTCCCGCATTCTTAGCATGACTTCGTGGTGTAGTGGTCAGCACGCTCGGCGCGTATTCAAGAGGTTTGTGCTTTGAGTCACGGCAAGGGCATTGCTAATTTTTCATCTGTCATGTTCCAAAAAATCCTAGTGTCTCTACAAAGGTATCCCAAAACTTAAATCATAATAATGATGAACAAACATTAATGTGAACAATGGCCTTGCATCTCCATGGAAGTTTGTGTCACTTGGGTTTGCATGTTGTTTTTAGTTTTAAGCATGATTCCAAGTTCTCGTCAATAAGACAACTTCTCACTTTACTCTTGATAAGGTTCATGCTAGAAAATGATTGTTCACATGAATATTTAGACCTATATAAGGAAAGAATAGCAAATGCTAGTTTTTTCAGCTGATTATATGAGTCAGGAGTACTATTCCATATGTTAAAAATCAACATATATTCCTTCTCCAGGTTTTTTAAAGCGTACCCCTTGTGCCGTGAAACTAAGCTCACATTTGTTTTTCTGTATCAGTGCTAAGATGTTAAAATTTTGAGCTCAATAATTCTTTGTTTTTTATATCCAGCAACTGAATTTCAAAGTTGTCAGTGTCAGAAGTGAAGGGAGAAAAAATTAATTCTATTACTGTAGTATAAAGAGGTTTTTTTTTTTTTTTTTTTTTTTTTTTTTTTTTTTAACAAAGGCTAACATCACTTTGTTGTTTTTGAATTACTGAAAACTGCTGAGATCTTACATTTAAAACTGTAGTTTTGAAATAGCAAACATCAATATCAAAATTATTTTCTTGGTGATTTTTCAACAGGCTTGGAAAGTGACTCAGAGTTTCTCTTTCAAAATTTGAGCAGAAATATATAATTTTTTTTCAAATGAAATAACATCTTCTAACATTGAAAAAAAGATGTTTCCTTATCCCTGTATTTTTGAGTATGCCGATTTAGATAAGACTTAATGTCTACCATGAAATAAAATTTTTGGATACACTGATCGTTCATTAGTTCTTGATAATAAATACCCTTTTCAAGAAGAAATGCTTTTAATCAGAGTGTGATATTCTAAAGTAAGGTGTAAATGACATAATAAATTCTATGCAGAAGCAAAATTTATTACAATTATGGGAGGTGGGGAAAATTATTGAGGCAAAAGATGATAAGTAAACTATGTAATTTTACTCTAGCACATTTCTTTAACAACCTTTTAACCTTGAATAAACTAGAATCAGTTATGCAAATTGTTAATTTTTCTTCCTCATAATTTTCTTTTCTGAAAAAAAAATTAAATCATCTGGAGCCATGGAATGTCATTGTAGAGAAGATTCACTGCAATAATAAGCTTTGTCTGGCAGAAAAGAAGGATGACAATTTTTTCATTCATGGAATTCCTCTTGCTATTGGGCCCATGGGAAACATACTTTTATTTGACAATGATGTTATTATTGTGTTTCCCCCCCAAAAAAAATTAGGTTTATTCCCATAAAGTCTTTTTTTTTTTAATTCATGTATTATTAATTTTTAGTTTAGGTGGCGTACCTGTAGATTTTGAAGAAGTTCATTTAGACTCTACTGTTCAACATATTGATAATGTAGAAGAAGCAATAATATCAATCAAAAGGAATGGTGTAGCAATCAAAGGTAAATCTTCTTCTTCCTTTTTTTTTTTTTAAAGAAATTGTTGAAATAAAATAAATTTTCTGATTTTTTATAAATTGTACTTACACTTGCAGGTAATATTGAAACAAGGGCAAATAATCCTCAGTTCAGGTCAAGAAATGTGATTTTGCGGTGAGTTTATTTTCATTTTTACTTTTATTTAATTATTTTTGTTGTTGTCGTAGTTATGTAGAATATTCTTTATTAAAGTTATTCTAAAATTGCATTGCTGAAAATATTGGTAGGTGATTACATAAACTTGCATAAGCAGCTATGAAATTAATTATAATGTCCGTACTATGATTCTAAACTAATGAGTGGACTGTATAGCAAATATTCTAACTAATTAATTACATTTAGTTCTAATACATGCTGTGGTATGTTGCTTAGCCGAATCCAGATGGCCAAGTGAGCGTTTTCTTCATATCCAATAGGTGACGTTGTAATCTAACTTAGCATGCCGCCGCCCGTTGAAATTACAAATTTCAACATGTAAATTACAAACAAACATACAATTTAACAATTCAAGAACAACTAATTCTACAATACAATATAAAAGCTAATAGATAATCTTTCATCATGAATATAATATAAACATTCACTATGCTACAATCAAACTTATTCTTTAAACAGTTCCATTTTAATATAAAACACAATTTACAATAAGAACACAATAATGTAAGCTAAGCATTATTATTCTGAATAGGCAATAAACAAATTTTACTAATACATCAAATATGCACACCATTTGATGTTTTCACTTTAACAGCTCTGGCCTTATTATCTTTAACAGGTAAAACTTCTAGAATTCTAGCTAAAGACCATTTAAATGGGGGGAAGATTATCTTCCTTTAACACAACTAACATACCTGCCTTTAATTTTTTTAATTAATAAACCATTTGGTGCGTTGTTGGAGATGATTTAAATAATCAGTTTGCCAACATTTCCAAATAACTTGAATGAACTTGGTAATAACTTGCCATTTAGAAAGTCTATTATCTGTAAGATGAGACAAATCTGGTTCAGGATATGAAGTAATGGAACGTCCAATTAAAAAATGACCCGGCTTTAAGGCTTCAAAGTCATTTGCATCTGTTGATAAAGGTAAAATTGGACGAGAATTGAGAATACCTTCAATCTGGTGTGACAACAGTCCAAAATTCTTCTAAAAGTTAATTTATAACTGCCGATTGTATGCTGAAGATGATATTTAAATGACTTAATACCTGCTTCCCATAAACCACCGAAATTTGGTGCTCTAGGTGGAATTAGTTTCCAATTTATGCCTTCAGATGTTAAGAAATCTGCTATATCAGAATTAGATTTAAGGACTAAACTATGCAATTTTTTTTCAGTTCTGATTTTGCTCCAACCATATTAGTACCATTATCTGACGTTATAGTATTACATTTTCCACGTCTAGCAATAAATCTTTTAATAGTAGCAAGTAATGAATCTGTGGTTAAATCAGTTACTACCTCTAAATGTACCACTTTAGTAGCTAAATATATGAATATAGCAATGTACACTTTTGCATAATTACCTTTTCTCTGATTTTTATACTTAATGAGGAAAGGACCTGAAAAATCAAGTCCACACGTATTAAATACAAACCCTGGGTTAACTCTTTCACCAGGTAATTTTCCCATAAGTTGTTTACATACAATTGGTTTAACCTTAAAACATGTTACACATTCATGTACAACCTTTCGAGCTATATCTCGACCATTTAATAACCCAAAATTTAATACGAACCTGATGCAATAGTGCTTGAGCACCAAGATGTAAATATTTAACCTGGGAATACTGAAAAATTAATTTAGTAAATACATGATCTTTTGGCATTACATAAGGAAATTTTTGGTTGTAATTAAGATAACTATTGGCAAGTCTGCCTCCTGCTCTCAGAAGAGAATCATTATCTAAAAATGGACATAAAACTTTTAACTTACTTTTGGAAGAAACACAATTCTTATTTTTTAAAGATAGAATATCCTTGCTAAAATGTTGTAACTGTACATACCTGATCATGATTTTCTCAGCATCATCCAATTCTTTAACATTTAGAGAACCTATCAGTTTTTTTCCCCTTACAACTGGCTATAAATCTACAAACAAAACTTAACACACAAATAATAAAAATATAGTTATTACTAATGTTAAGAATATGATCCAAAACAAGGGTTCACATTTAGATTAACTAAGGCATTATCCTTAAGTTTTAGTTCTTTGGCATATTCCACATCAGCCTTATCAGATGAAATTACTTCACAAGGATTAGTCAAAAACCCCTCCTTAGTCAAGAAAATTGTCCATACCACCATAAGTCATTATGAAGATCTTTGGGTTCAGCTCCACGTTATGTCAAATCAGCTGCATTATTATGAGTGCTAACATAATACCACTCATGAACAGCAGTCATACTGCGAATAACAGATACTCTATTAGCAACAAATGTCTTTAGATGATAAGGTTCCTACTTAATCCATGCTAACACTATTGACGAATCTGTGAAGTAATACACCTTCACTATAGGCATCTGAATGGCTTCTAATATTCTTTTTATTAGTTTTACCAACAGAACTGCACCATAAAGTTCCAAACGTGTAATAGTAATTGACTTCAAAGGTTGCACAGAAGTCTTGACGAAAATTCATTCGAAGATAACATACATTTCACATAAATTGCAGTACCATAGGCTTTCTGACTAGTATCACAGAATCCTATAATTTCTATTTGTTGTAATCCATTGGTTAGAACAAATCTGGGAATGCAATATCGTTGACTATTTTGAGACTATGCAGAAATGCTTTCCATTCTTCAAAGTAATTTTTAGGAAGAGATGTATTCCAATTTAATTTTAGAAGCCAAAGGTTTTGTAGAAATATTTTAGCTTTTCGTCGTAACAGGTCCAATTAAACCTAACGGATCAAAGAGGCGACCTATTGTTGATAAGACATCTCTTTTCGTTCCTGTTTCTTCAATGTCAGGTATCTTTAAATCGTAAGAAAAACAGTCTGTAGACGTATTCCATGACATTCCTAAGGCCTTTGTAATCTGAGGCTTATCCGTAACTTGAAAAGAGTAATCCTGAGTTGCACTTTCTTTATTCTTCAATAATTCTGGATTATTTGAACACCATTTGTGTAACTGCATTCCACCACGTTCTAGAAGACAGGTTAACTGTGTCTGCAACTCCTTGCCTTCTTGCAGCGTATTAGCTCCAGTGATAATGTCGTCCACATAACAGTCCTTCAGTATGGCTCTTGGGGCATGAGGAAAGTCAGTTGCTTCATCCATTGCTAACTGCTTCAGGACCCTTGTTGCAAGGAATGGTGCACTTGCTGTTCCGTATGTTACAGTCCTTAGACGATAAGTCTGCACAGGACTACCAACTGATTCTTTCCACAAGATCAACTGCAGGTTTCGTTGAGATGGTTCAATAAGTATTTGTCTGTACATCTTCTGAACATCAGCTCCTAATGCATAGTTGTACTTTCAAAATCTAATAATAACAGAAAATGAATCTTCTTGAAGTATTCACCCTTTCATTAATATTGAATTAAGTGATTTTCCATTGATAGTAGCCACTGATGCATTAACCCATTAACCGCCAAAACTACAAGGAATGATTCTTTTCTCATGAAAATAATAACAAATATTAAATTAAGCATTTATAACATAAATTTACATCAAAAATAAAAAAAATGCTCTTACCTGTGGTAAAAGCGAGTGTTACGTTCACGCAACGTCAGCGGAATAAGACTACGGATGTTTAGTGAGTAGGATTGTACTCGTGTGATGTTTCTTTTGAGTGGAGGCAGTATTACTTTTTAGCTGCATAAGGTTTTATAAATCTACAAATCACTTTAATTGTAATTAATTTAATATTAAAATATACATTGTATTTCTTTTTACAAATACAGATTATTTCAATTGAAAGATTCAAGCATGAAAAGCTTGATTACAATCATGATGGAAAGCTACATTACATACTTTGCATCTATAAGCAGTCTGGCTATGGTACTCTTTACAACAAAGTCTTTTGTTATCAACGGACTTTACCATAAAATGTCTACCATCTCCATGCAGTGGTTTTTGAATGCTGAATTTACTAGGCTTTCCTGTTGCTGATCTATTTCTAGTTAATTCTACACTCTCAACAGGAGTTTGCAAAAGGAATAATGCATTCTCGCGTCTGAAATCTAAAAGAGTATATTTCCAGTAGTAAAAAGTGGTGATATTTAGTAAGTTTAGATATGGTCTCACCTCATATAATTTATCAGTATTGTCAATTTGACTATTGTCAAATGCAAAATTTCTTATCCACTTCAAGCTTTCAGTCTTCTGCTTTTTAAACTTTTTAGTATGACTACAACTGCTTTTAGAAGGCTGGAACTTACATCTTATGTGAATTTCAACTTCCCCAGCAGTATCATTTGGTAAAATATCATTATTTAAAACATTGTCATTCCTTTCTTCTTCATCAATAGCTTCTGCAATTTCTGGGGGAACAGCAACAATATCAGTTTAATTCTGGTCATTATTAACATTATCATCCAAAGTTTCTTCATCAAAAAATCTTTGAAAGGCTTCTTCTAATGTAAGATACCTCGTTCTAGGCATTTTTAAAGCTGCCAGAACATGAACCAAAACATCGAAAGGAATGAGTGAAAAAGGAGATTGATTACCCATTTCCTGCTGACGTTGCGTCAGCATAACACCTGTTTTCCCTTCCTTACCAACACAAATATAAACATCTGACTCATGTAATGTTTTAATAAATGGTGCCCTTGACTAAAAATAGATCACTCATAAAGACGGCGATTCTTTTGTTAAATATTTTCAGCAAAAATACCTGGTCGAAAATTTTGTTTAAAGTATGAGATTAATTATTATAAACAAAAGGATTGTTGAAGGCAAATATTTTTTTACAGAAATAATCTTCATAATATTCCCTACACAAAATCATCTGCTTGTATAAAATATCTTAGGTAGTTATATTTATATACACATTTATTTTGACCGTTGCGTCAACCAGGGTTCGTACGGTCCTTAAAAGTCCTTAATTTTGCCAAAATCAACAGAAGATTTTTAATTTTAATCATCTGAAATTTCTGTCTGTTTTTGC